ATTTCACAAAGGAAAGGCAGTTCTGATCAGACAGGCGGCCTGCTGTCTACTCATAAGCACATCAAGCCTTATACCAAGTCAGATCATTGATCCATCTAGCCCATGATTGTCAGTAGTGACTGACAGCAGCTCACCAGGATATCAGACATCACTAGTTCTTACCTGGAGATGCCTGTGACTTTCTGCTTGCCCTTCTCAAATGAAAGGTTTCTGTTTACACATCTCAAATTCCCATGTGGCTCTTAGCTCTCAGGTTGGCTCCACCCTGTCTTTGGCCAAGTGTCTAATAAGGCTCCTGTCACTTTCTATCAGCCATGCTGGTCCTCTGCTGTATGGGCAGAGAGTTCTCCTCAACCCTGAAGCCACTGGTACATCTCTCAATCAAGAGGTGGGATGACTTTGGCTGCACTCAATGCAACCCAAGCACCACATAAAAACCCATCACAGCTACTCCTAAGAAACTAATTGAACATATGCCCCAGATTCATAAGGAACTAGGCCACTGGCCCCTTCAGCCCTGTATTTGCCCACTCAGATTGGAAGCAGCTTTCCTCACTTTCAGACCGACGTCTATTCTACCTACCTGCTTGCCCCAATAAACACTTAAAATACTCCCAGCAGCTGATCTGATAACATGCTTTGGCCAGCGTCCAGGGGGCAGCACTCCATGAAATTGCCAAGACACCAACTAACCCAATCCACTCTCCCTTCCCTCTCCATCCTGGTTTTATGTATTGCTAAGGTTGCATTTGTTATACTGATTTAAGCAAACAAAAAAACCCAACAAACTGCAATAAAAACTGCAATAAACTAATTTTAAACTGCAATAAAATAATTTTTAAAAATGGGAAGAAACTTTTGTAAAACAACTTGAGCCCAAGCAGGATCATAGGAAGCTGCCTTATAGTGAGTTAAGACAACTCAGCCCACCTACTCCAGTATTGTTTCCAATGACTGGATGTAGCTCTTACCCCGCCCTACCTCAAGATTTCACATTTCCCAAGTTTTCCAACATTAATTTGAACCAGCACTGGGGTGGATCTAAATGATGATGGCTGGGAGTTTGTTAAGAGGGAGATAGTAAAAGCACAACGTCAGGCAATACCGATGAGACGGAAACATGGAAGGTGCCTAAAGAAGCCAGGGTGGCTATCTAAAGAACTTTTAACTGAGTTAAGATTAAAAAGGATGTGTACAAAAAATGGAAAAGGGGAAACCACCAAAGAGGAATTCAAACAAATAGCCAGCATGTGTAGACACAAAGTCAGAAAAGCTAAAGCACAGAATGAACTCAGGCTTGCTAGAGAGGTTAAAAGCAACAAAAAGGCTTTTATGGGTATGTTCGTAGCAAAAGGAAGAACAAAGAAACAGTGGGGTCACTCAGAGGAGAAGATGGTGAAATGCAAACAGGGGACACAGAAAGGGCTGAACTCCTCAATGCCTTCTTTGCCTCAGTCTTCTCCGATAAAGAAAACAATGCCCGACCTGAAGAATTTGAAGCAAATGATTCAGCAAAGGAAACACAGCCCAGAATAACTAAGGAGATAGTACAAGAATACTTGGCTAGTTTAGATGTATTCAAGTCTCCAGGGCCAGATGAACTGCATCCAAGAGTATTAAAAGAACTGGCAGATGTGATCTCAGAACCACTGGCAGTCATCTTTGAGAATTCCTGGAGAACAGGCAAAGTCCCGGCAGGCTGGAGGCGGGCAAATGTTGTCCCTATTTTCAAAAAGGGGAAAAGAGAGGACCCAAATAATTACCGCCCAGTCAGTCTGACATCAATACGAGGGAAGATTCTGGAGCAGATCATTAAGCAAACAGTCTGTGAGCACCTAGAAAGGAATGCTGTGATCACCAATAGTCAGCATGGATTTCTGAAAAATAAGTCATGTCAGACTAACCTGATCTCGTTTTTTGACAGAATTACAAGCCTGGTAGATGAAGGGAACGCAGTGGATGTAGCCTACCTTGATTTCAGCAAGGCATTTGACAAGGTGCCCCATGATATTCTTGTAAAGAAGCTGGTAAAATGCGGTCTTGACTATGCTACCACTCAGTGGATTTGTAACTGGCTGGCTGACCGAACCCAAAGGGTGCTCATCAATGGTTCCTCTTCATCCTGGAGAAGAGTGACTAGTGGGGTGCCACAGGGTTCTGTCTTGGGCCCGGTCTTATTCAACATCTTTACCAACGACTTGGATGATGGACTCAAGGGCATCCTGATCAAATTTGCAGATGACACCAAACTGGGAGTGGGGCTAACACCCCAGAGGACAGGATCACACTTCAAAACGACCTTGACAGATTAGAGAACTGGGCAAAAACAAACAAGATGAATTTTAACAGGGAGAAATGTAAAGTATTGCACTTGGGCAAAAAAAATGAGAGGCACAAATACAAGATGGGTGACACCTGGCTTGAGAGCAGTACATGTGAAAAGGATCTAGGAGTCTTGGTTGACCACAAACTTGACATGAGCCAACAGTGTGACATGGCAGCTAAAAAAGCCAATGCAATTCTGGGCTGCATCAATAGGAGTATAGCATCTAGATCAAGGGAAGTAATAGTGCCACTGTATTCTGCTCTGGTCAGACCTCACCTGGAGTACTGTGTCCAGTTCTGGGCACCAGAGTTCAAGAAGGACACTGACAAACTGGAACGTGTCCAGAGGAGGGCAACCAAAATGGTCAAAGGCCTGGAAACGATGCCTTAGGAGGAACGGCTAAGGAAGCTGGGCATGTTTAGCCTGGAGAAGAGGAGGTTAAGGGGTGATATGATAGCCATGTTCAAATATATAAAAGGATGTCACAGAGGAGGGAGAAAGGTTGTTTTCTGCTGCTCCAGAGAAGCGGACACGGAGCAATGGATCCAAACTACAAGAAAGAAGATTCCACCTAAACATTAGGAAGAACTTCCTGACAGTAAGAGCTGTTTGACAGTGGAATTTGCTGCCAAGGAGTGTGGTGGAGTTTCCTTCTTTGGAGGTCTTTAAGCAGAGGCTTGACAACCATATGTCAGGAGTGCTCTGATGGTGTTTCCTGCTTGGCAGGGGGTTGGACTCGATGGCCCTTGTGGTCTCTTCCAACTCTATGATTCTATAAATAACAAACCAGTAACTGCTGAAATCTTAACACACCATCAGCCCAGTGTAGCAGCTTCCACTATTTTCAGGCTGTTATCCAGCATGTTAAGGGTTAAACAACACCATTGCCATCCCCCTTCCTAGATTTTACACTTCGTTGTGATAAAGTCTTCCAGGAGCACCACCTCAGGTTGGGGAGCTGTATGTTTGAATGCTCCCTCTTAGAAAACTAATGAAGTCATCCCTGCATGCAGAAAATCTAGAACAAAGCCTTTCCCCCGAAGCTGCTGGTACATACTATATATAGGAGAGGTAGGAAACTTGTGCCCCTCCAGGTACTTCTAGACTGCAACTCCCATCAGCCCCAGCCAGGCCAGTTTATCTGGGATAAGGGGAGTTTGTTTTCTGAACCCCTGGCTTACCTGGCAGCAAGTCAGTACACCAAGCCCAAAGGTCTGGAAACGAGGTTTAGGGTCAATCCAAGTAGGCCAAATTCCCGCAGTCAGGATGCAGTCAAACCTGAAGCACTGTCCCACAGAGGTCCAGGAACACCCAAATCAAGATCCATCAACATGGGCAGTTGAGCAGAAACAGCACCTCAGCTCTGCTTCCCTTTTGTACTTTGCCTGCTGATTGTAGCATCTGGGCTTGATGAGGCAGCTGACCCTCACTTGTTCCTACTCCAGCTGAGAAATCACAGCCATCTCCCAGAGCTAGCGAGCCCCACCTGGCCAGCTAGGGAGTTGGGCTGTGGGCCCTTGCCTGCCTCAGCCTCCTGGAGAACTGCTTTCTATACCTCAAAGCCCACCGTGTTCATGGAGACAGGGGCCTCTCTGGCTCTGGGTCCTGTGCACTGACCATCTTCTCTTCATTCTCCACCCCACCCCCATGAGAACTTCCTACACCAACCTCTCCTTCCCCATCCCCAGCTAGCCCCAGTGTGTCCTAGTGCTGGCTACCATGACCCTCCTCCCCCTCCCCGTTGTCCTGCCAGTTCATGACCACTTGAGTCCAATACCGACTTAGGTGGATCAATGGTCTGATGTGGCGCAAGTCAGATTCTTCTTCTTCCTGTTCTCTGAATATGTAGCTGAAGACAGGAAAAGAAGATAAAAAAGGGAGAACCAAGCTCTCAATAATATCCATTTTGAAAACACTGCAAGCCAGCCTTCCCCAACCTGGCATCCTCCAGAGGGTTGGGACCTCAGCATGCTGGCTGGGCCTGATGGGAGTTGTGGTCAAAAACCTATGGAGGGCACTAGGTTGGGGAAGGCTGCTGTAAGGGAGCAACTGAAGAGCATTTTGGCTGACAGTGTTTTCAAAAATGATGTTTTAGGAAACCTAAAAGGAATGCCTGTTCTGGCCAAAACAAGCTGAGCATTAATAAAAAGTCCCAATATTCCTTTCTTTGGCATCTTGAGTTTGGTCCCCCCCCCTTTTTGTATTTTTCACCTGATGCTGCCCATTTTGTGTGTATGAATATGTATCTGCCTTTTGAGCAACATGGAGCACCATCAACACTTCGGTTTGCACTGAATAAAATATAGTTTTGGAAAAAAGTTTTTCAAAAAGCACATAAGCAAGCCAAGCCTGTGAACTCTCTCTCTCTCTCTCTCTCTCTCTCTCTCTCTCACACACACACACACACACACACACACACACCAGTGAGCTAATACAACCTTCTATAGTGGGTGGAGAAAGGAAACTACAATGGAACCTTGCAAAAGAGCCATTTGAATGGCATGTCTCAATGAAACTCATCTGCTGCCAGGTAAATTCCCAACCTGTGGCTCAAGCCGTGGGCAGACAGCACAGCCAAGACCGGTGATGGGAGGAGGAGATAAAAAGGTACTATTCACTGAAGAGGTATATTGCCCCTCAATTTGTTCGTTTTGGAGAGAATGGAGAGAGAATTATAACAGAAGATCTTTATTTGTATTTGCAAAAGTGCAGTAAATGAACTCTGGATTTCAAACAAGTAAAAAACAAAAAAAGCCAAATGGAGGCAGGAAGAGGAAAGTCTGGGCATTTAAGCCTCTGCTGTCAAGAGTGGTATATTAGTCACATCGTGGATGCCATCTTTATCGATGAATCGAGCATTGAATGAAGGCAAGTTCAGGATGAAGCGTTTCTGAAGCTGTGGGAAACAAGAGTTGTGTTTACGTTAAATGTTTTTAGAAAGTCACCTAAATGTTTGCAAGAACTCTCAGCAGCCCAGCACTGTCTCATTTCCTCTGCGTGAGCAGCTGGCAATAACAAGCACCCAACTAAGAAATCCAAAAAGTTTGAGCAAAATGTTCCCTGTGAAAGTTTACTCCTATTCTTAGGGAGCTATCATCTATTGCGGGGAGAGGCAGAAGGCAGGCAGAGATCACCATGTGATTTTGGACTTCCAATAATTAAAGCATTAACAAGTAAATAAATAGACATTTTATTACCATAAATTTGTATTTAGGGCCATTAACCCAGAAGGAGGGCAATACCACACGGAACGTCCTCACTCTCAAGGAGAAGGGGCAAACAACAGACTTCAGAATAATGGCTCCTGTCCCCATCTTCTCTCCTTTCCCTCAGCCACTCAGGCAAACAACAGGTCTCAAAATTGTCCATTCTCAACCCTTACATGAATGTCACCCGAACGGATTTTTTTTTTGCTGGAGGGGTTGGGATCCATGCCATTGCTCACCTTACACTAATCACTTATCTCTTAGCTTCAGTGCTCCTCACCTGTAAAATATGGGTACTAGTTGCCTGCCTTTGTGCATCTCTTACATTAAGAGGTGCATGTTAGAATCAATGATCAATATAGTAACTCTAATGCAGATCTGTCGCCCCTGGAAGGTTGTTCAGAAGGAAATGTGGCTCTCAGGCTGATAAAAGTTTTCTTCCTCTAATTTAAAGTAATGATGATACCATTAAATGTATGAATTGGACAAAGAGCAAAACCTCCCCCAAAAGGGGCAGAAGGATGGATTATCAATATTAATTGTGGAAGAACCAGAAATTTAAAATGTCAATAATTCTAAACTTTACTACCTAACCATGAAGTAAACTAAGAAGGTTGGGGTGGGGAGAGCAAGGAATGCTTATTCTCCACTAACCAATTTCACATCTGGCTGCTCTGTATTTATTTCCCCTTGTGGCAAGAATAATTTTTTTAGCGGGGGAGATGTAGCAGGAGAAGGAAGGGGGAGAGTTAAATCACTGGCCAAACAAAGGCAACCAAACATTAGTCTCCTGGGCAAGGCAGGTCACTCACCTCCTCCAGACATTTCTTGAGAACCTCCAATGCTTCTTCACGGGTGATACCTGCAGGAGGAAAAGAGAGCACCACAGACAGCTTTAATTAGTCGCCAAGTCTCCTGGCCTCCTAAAAATCTCTCTGATGAAGTCCGAACAGCTTTTCAGTTGTGCACAAAGGAACGAAAGGCTCTTTCCCAGCTCTGAGAAAACTCGTTCCACATGTATGAAGGATCACCTGTGGCCCAGCTCCCTTGCCCAACGAGCCGTCAAAAATCGATTTGTTCCACCCTAACGGGAAGCCGGGCAGAGTCCTGCCTCCCACGGCCAGGGGCTCAGGCGCTGGAAGAGCTGGGCCACCTCAGCCTTCTTGAGCTTATTACCACATTAAATCAGCTCCATCTGTCCACAGCCGGTTGCAAATCACTCAAAGGAGTGTGTGTGTGCATGTGTAGAGGGGAGGTCAGGAGGGCTGGCCTTTAAGTGCTACGTTCCCTGTTGGGTACTGATTTTTAACAATGGAAATGGCACGTGTGAGAAGTGCCCCAGCTCTTCTCACACATTAGAAGAAATGGTTTGCCCATGCTTTTGGGTGGGGTGGGCGGGAAAGAGACAGCAAACTGTCAACATGTTAGGCTGGGGGGGACATAATTCTGCTGCCACCAATCATGGGGGGTAAGTGGAAGGAGACCCATTTAAAATGAAATTTTAAGGAAGCAGAGAATCAAAAGGCAGAATTTGCACACTTCCTGCTTCTTCAAGGCTGGTCTCCAATCAACAGCTGGTCACAAATATTATTTATTTATTAAATTTGTATCCCACCCTTCTTCCCAAAGGAGTCCAAGGTGGCAAACATCAACATATTAAGACAAGGCAATTTAAAATAAAATAAAAACGTATTAAAAAAATCTAAAACATGTAGTGCATCTAAAAACATTAAAATATTAGCAACTATTTTCAAAGTTTGTCAGAATTTCCATTTTGCCCTCTGAAGTTTGAATACAAAGCTGCCTCCGCTGTTAGAGGAAGTAAGTAATTGTCAGTTGCTGGGAACTGCAGAGGGAAGAGTTGCATTTGCAATCATGTCCCGCTTGCAGGCTTCCCATAAAGGCATCTGGCTGGCCGTTGTAAGGACCGGATGCTGGAGCAGTTAGGCCTTTGGGCTTGATCCCGCAGGGCTCTTCTTATCTTCAGATTCAGATCTACAGCATGATTGCAAAATTCTAACTCAAAGTTTTGGAATTAGAGTGCATTAAACTTGCTTCCTTTACAGGCATCGGCTATGTAACAACTGTCCACTCTCACAAAACATTCTGCGCTACTGCAGGTTAACCACTAGCTAAATGGCCATTCTCTTTACCACTTCAGATGTTGCAGAGATCAATGACAATGATCTCCAGGGCAATCTGTTGGTCTTCAGCACTGTGCAATTGGGTTTTTTTTGTTTGTTTGTTTTAAATGAGAGCTTGATTTTGTTTCCTCCAGCTTGAGGAAAAGCTCAAGCGTACAAATGCTTTAAATGAAATAAATGAATAAAGTCAGATACTAAATACAACTGCATGTCAACCATCAAACACTATCAAATACTAAAATCAAGCATCTTAAGATATCAAGTGGAAATAAGAAAACATTCAACATCAAAAGTCGTAGTAAAGTGGTGTTAAGTTGGGGGAGCAAATTAGTATCAGAACCACTCAAATTCTATTAACTGCCAAGGAGGAGATACTGAAACCCTCATCAAAAGATTGTATGTGTTTGTGCATCTGCACACTCATCACAGAAGTACCTGATATCTGGATTTTAGAAAATCTGAGCTTCTAGCCCTCATGCAGTTTGGAAATGAATACTGGTAGCATCCATAGAAGACTGAAAAGCCAGGGAGGGGGCTAGGAAAGGGTTTCGGCTGTTAGGAAGATCCGACCACTGCATCTCTTCTTGCCTCCTTATCAAGACTGATCCAGAGATTTTTGGTGTTCCAGGCAAATTCAAATTTTGCCACTACCTACCCAAACAAATCTCATTGCATGCCTGATAATCAAGAGTCAACAGAAGATCCATAAAATTTCTGTAACTTAACGATCATACGTTGTTGCTGGGGTGATGCTGCAAAGGTGCCCTTGCAACACCAGTGCTGCCACAACTTACTGGGATGGCACTGGGGTGATGGCAAGGTCAGGACTGTGTGGGCACACTGGCAGGAGCACTAGATTGGCTCCTACAAAGCTCCAGCACTGGGCTGACCTTGCTACTGCCCTGCATCTTCACCGTTAGTGGGAGCAATGCCGGTGCTAGGAGGACAGCTCTGCACTACCACTCTACTGCACCAGCTGCTCCTATCATATTGTGGCCTGATTATTTTTTTAATACTGCAAACTGCTCTGTGACACCCATATGAAGGGTAATATTTCAGCAACAGAAACAGAAACAGAAGCAACACATCATCTCCCAGATTCTTGGACACCAGAAATCTGAACTCAGGTTACAATCTGCATTTGAGCTATGAGCTGAAAAAGCAAATAAATCTCTCTTTCCTCAGGGTGCTTCCCTAGCTAAGGCAGGCTGCCTCATTTGCCTGTACCATCAAGGATGGCCATGCTGCGAGTGATGAGGTTCCTATTATAGTGTGGGGGAATGGGTTAAATCCAGACTAACTTAGTTGTTCCTTACTCCCACTGATATCTGGAGGGACTTCGGTTTGTCATAACTAATTTTTCATATTGACTGTATTGATTATAAAGCTGTTGTCTCCAATGGTATTTCGTGATATGACCAAACAGTGTTTGATTATATGGTATGTAACTTGCTGCATCTTATATTGGGTACACAGTTTTGTGAAAGCTACGCCCTAAAAGGCAGCCTAGAAATACAACCGTGGGTGGGTATACTACCAACCCCAATAATTTACGATTTTGATGTGCTTACCTGGTCTATAGTAGCGATCAAGGATGCTGAGCGTCAGGAAGGCCCCATAACCGTGGGCTGCAAAGGGAGCTTTAGCCAAAGAGGCCAGGTAATCCATGTAGTAAAGGGCAGGCCCATCTTGCTCATCAAAGCCTGCCAGCAGGAGGTTGACATGATAAGGAGTCTGTAAAAGAAGCAAAAGAAGCTGTTAGAACACTGATCTGGATATCATAGAATGACTTCTCAATATTCTGCATTTTTTCAAAGCACGAAAGAGAGTGCCACAAAGGGCTAACTATATTAGGACCAAACTGTGTTTATGATGTTATTCAACTCTCTGCAGTCATCAGACCAAACATTTATGAATGTGCAACTAGTCATTGGTTTTAGTTTTTTTAAAACAACAACAATGTATAAGGATGAATACATCAGCTAAGTACGCTGTGTCAAGAATAACATCACAGGCAAAAGAGCTGCAAACACCACAGCATCGTCTTCAATTGCTCCCCCAACAGAATGCAACCATAATATTTTCTGTTGTACATGATTTAGAAACTAAGGCATTAAGTAATACAAAACTATTAAATCAAATAAAATCAAGGACAAGACCTCTGCTGACAACTACAAACTGCTGTTGAGCTGTCACAGAGAACGTTTGTGGGCCCCACCCACCACAAATTGTCCAGGTCAGTTCTTAAGTACCGTCTTAAGACGAAATTGGAGCAGTAGACAGAGATATATAAAATAAAAGGGATCAATTTAATTGCTTTAGAATTCAGGAACAGAGCAGGCAAGTAATAATGATTCAGGATTTTCCTATTCAAACTGTGTTTTTATTCTGTGTTCCACCTTGCGATATATATGAAAGCATGGTTTATAAATATTCAAATAAATATATAAAGTTGAGGGAAAGAATGACTGGGATTCACTTCCAATATGTCAAATCACAGCTTTTGATTGTTCTGTTCTAGTTCCGGTTCCCACTCTGCACACTACCAGATGGATGCTTATAAAAGTATCAGGAAAGAAACCTCCATACAAGCAAAGGAATTTTTTAAAAGAAGAACACGGAAGAATGTCAGAAGGGTTTCCGAGATTGCAAGTTGCTCCCCAGCTCCAACAACATTGATTTAATTAGCCCATGTTAACACCCCTTATTTACGCCTAAGCATGTTGCACATGCAGAAGCTGGCAAGTCAAAGCTACCTTGTAATTGGAGAGTCGGGTTCCGGGCCACAAACGTGGCTTCTAAACACCAACTTCTACCCGAGTCTGTGTCAGATGTCAAAGCATACATGCATAAATGATGTGCAAACTAATTAGACCCGGGCAGCTGTGCAGCACTTTTCTTGGGAATGCTTTTTTGACACAGGCAACTGCAGAAGACATTTCAAGCCCCTTGCCTTAAAAAGTCATAGTCCCTCTTCCCTTACTTTTGTTTTTTTTTGGGGGGGGGAGAGCTGTGAGTGTATGCAGGGGAACCACACACTGCAAGAGAGAGATCAGTCACTGAATGTAGTGGCATCACACTCCAAATACAAGCTCAGTTTACCCAAGGTCCTGCTATTAGGCTGTCTGCCTTTCCACGCACCCACTGTTAAGGCACTGTGCTGGGGCACACTAACAACACTTGCAAGAAAACTTAACTTGCTGCTAGGTAAAGTTAGTTGCTACGGACACAAGAAGAGCACTGATTGATGAGGCACATGGCCCATCTAGTCCAGCATCCTGTTCTCACGGGGGTTAACTGGATGCTTGTGGGAAGCCTGAAAGCATGACCTGAGCACAACATTGTCCCCCTGCAACTGGTGTTCAGAAGGAGACTGCCTCAAGCAGTAGATGGAGTGCAATACACAGCAATTGTGCCTAGTAGACGCTGATATCCTTCATGAATTTGCCTCATCCTCTTTTAAAACCATCCAAGAACAGAAGGGTGGGGGGCATCTCCAGGTCATAATGTGTTATACACTTAATTGTAGTTCCAACCTTTCTCCTCAAAGGTTCTGTTCAGGTCGCACATAAAGCTCTCTTCTGCACCAGTGGTGCCCAAAGTCTTTCAAAGAGCAAAATCAGCATGCTGTCTTTATAAAATGGGAAGGAATCACACCACTGCATTTACCCAGAAACGAAGCGCAGATAAATAGAAGCAGTTTCATCAAGGATCCAACAAGCACAAAGTACTGAGACATTGAGACAGGGCAACCGGCGACATCTCTGTATGAGCTGACACCAGAGCCAGGCCTCCCTTTCCTGGGTGTGGAGGAGGAACTGTGGTATGATCTTTGACTCATTTGGTACACACAATGACCCTGTGAGATGGGCCCAGCCAAGACCACAGCTGTTCCAGCAAGTGTTGTGACGGAGCATGAATTTGAACGTACATTAAATACAGTCGTCACCTATCTATGGGCACCTTGCACAAAACATTCCAAGGCTCATGTGGATTTTAGACTCAAGGTAGGCAACCTGTTGTGGATGACAACTCCCATAATCACATCAGCTCCCCCCGTTGCAGACCCACCCCCCAATAAAACACTGCCTTTTTTTGCTTATTTTCTAAAAGCACACTTCAAAAAGTTCAGCTTAAGGGAAGGCTGGTTAAGAAGAGTCAAACAAGAGTGCATAAAAAGCAACAACAATGCCAACTTGAGGAGTGGGATTCTTGCCTCTACTGCTGGATTTAAAATAACTGCAGTGATTAGGAAGAGCGTGAAATCCTTCAGAATTTACAGCTGAAGGGAAGAGTGGTGACAGCCACACCAAAACGCGCAAGCACGCACACAACACAAAATCAGCAATGAGAGGTTGGGGCGGGAGTGGCGGTGTGACATCTGGCGGAAGCCAAAGTCGCCATGGAGGGGAGGGGGACGCAGTGGGCGCGAGGAAGGCATCCTACTAAGCGTGGACAACGAGAGAGGAACTGACAGCCTCTCTTTGGACCCAGGCCAGGCAGTGCCACCTATAATTAAATGTATCATCGTACGGAGCAGCACTTTAACGGGGAAGTGTATAAATGCCTGCCTGCGGGTGGAGGGAGAGAGGCTTTCATTCTGTGCACAAACACAGCAGTCTTTGCATTCCCAGAAGGTGAAGGGGAGGGGGGGCGGCAACGAGAGGATCAAGAAACCTTGTTCTGTATCATGTAAAATTGCAGCATTATGTCCTAGAGCTCCTTTGGCCCTTGGAAGCACCCTTCTGGTTTGAGGCCAGGAGCCCCACAGCAGCCTGGTGCACAAAGCCGTGGACTTTGTTTCCCTATGCTCAAAGCGGGAACTGGACTCAGTTGAGGAACCCTGCATTTTGAGGTGAAGTGAGACGAAGTGTTCGCTTTGTGGTGGCCCACTGGTACATGCAAAGGCATCAAGTGACTGCATACGCTGAAGAAGGCAACAGCGTCCTGTGACCAACAGCAGCCAGCCAGGCACCTCCATGTTCTGGGAGCCTCCAGAGGCAAGAGCCTTTCCCTTCAACTTGCCCTCCAGCCATCTGGCATTCAGAGCTACACAGCCTCCAATCTGGAGGTGCAGATAAGCTGTCATGGGACAAGCACAGGGTGAAATGCATCCCTCAGGATTCATGGAGTTGTATCTTATGCTAGCTTTACTCAGAGTAGACCTGCTGAAGTTAATGGACATTACTAAGTTAGGTCTAAGTTAATGTCAATGGGTCTCCTCTGCTGCGGGAGACTGATCAAATCCAGTAGAGTTTAGTTTCTCTGTCTGGTTCTTGAGACCCTCTCAGGTTCACACCCCTCAACCATTCTGCTTTGCATCCTCCATTAGCTTGACTGGAAACGGGTCCTTGAAATGTTGATGCCTCTTGCTTGCCTGGATGGAGTCCAGGGAGGACAGTGTGAGCTTGTATAGAAACTAGCCTACAGTATAAAATTTATGTTTGTTGCTCCACTCACTTTTGCCTCTGCCAATCGCAAGGTAAACAGCAGGCTGAAAACGGTTCCTTACCCCACTTCACTCCTCTGAGCTTGTAGTGGGAAGAAACAATTGTGGTTTGTTTCACTCCCAACAAACTGATTTGTAGCCAAGGCTTATTCTTGGCCTACTGATTATGGTTAGTCATGAGATGCTAGTTGGGCCACGGTAGGGTAATGAAGTGTAACATGATGCACACTGCAGCAAAAATTCCCAATTTCACATATATAAACATTGACAGGGTTTAAAGTAGCAACTAATCTGAAAACTGATTTGGAGGTCATGGTGGATAGCTCAACAGAAAATACGAAGTGTCAGTCCTTTAATTTGAATGTCACATTTTTCTTCACTTATAAAAGAGAGCTACATTTGGATCCCTTCCAATCGGGATTCGGGCCTCATCATGGGACTTAAAACTGCCTTGGTCGCGCTGGTCGATGATCTCCGGTGGGCTAGGGACAAAGGGGAGAGCTGTTTCCTAGTTCTGCTGGATCTCTCAGTGGCTTTTGATACCATCAACCATAACATCCTTCTGGACCGTCTAGAGGGGCTGGGAGCTGGGGGCACCATTATACAGTGGTTCCGCTCCTTCCTCCTGGGCCATGTTCAGAAAGTGGTGGTGGGGAGATGAGTGTTCAGACCCCTGGGCTCTCACTTGTGGGGTGCCTCAGGGTTCTATCCTCTCCCCCATGCTTTTCAACTACCGTATTTTTCGCCCCATAGGACACACCGGCCCATAGAACGCACCTAGTTTTTTTGGGGGGAAATAAAGCAAAAAAAATTTATTTCCCCCCCAGGCGCGGGGGATGCCCGAGCTTCCCCCGACCCCAGCCCCCAGAACAGGCTGCTATCCGCAAGCCTAGGGAGCCCGGCAGGAAGTCGCGGCAGTCTCCCCAGGCTTGCGGATATCTGTCCCCCGAGCTTGTGGGGCTGGCAGCCTCCAAACCAGGTCGGGGAACAGCGGGATGGCAGCGCTCTGCCTCCCCGCTGTCCCCTGAGCTTGTGGGGCTGGCGATGGGGAGAAGCCAGCTTCTCCCCACTGCCAGGCTCCAAACCAGGTCGGGGAATAGCGGGATGGCGGCGCTCCGCCTCCCTGCTGTCCCCCGAGCTTGTGGGGCTGGCGATGGGGAGAAGCGCGCTTCTCCCCACTGCCAGGCTCCAAACCAGGTCGGGGAACAGCGGGATGGCGGCGCTCCACCTCCCCACTGTTCCCCAAGCTTGTGGGTCTGCCCGATATCTGCCCGAAGCCTGGGGTGCATGCCCCGTGCTTCGGGCTGCAGGCTGCCGCCCGCAAGCCTTGCGAGCCCAGCGGGAACTCCTGCCGGGCTCGCAAGGCTTGTGGATAGCTTCCTGAAGCCTGGAGAGCGAGAGGGGTCGGTGTGCACTGACCCCTCTCGCTCTCCAGGCTTCAGCGAAAGCCTGCATTCGCCCCATAGGACGCACACACATTTCCCCTTCATTTTTGGAGGGGAAAAAGTGCGTCCTATAGGGCGAAAAATACGGTACCTCCTTTTGCCATGCCAGAACCTTTAAGCCCAGGTTGGGGAACCTTTCACAGCCTGAGGGCCACATTTCCTCCTGAGCAACCTTATGAGGGCCACCCAGTGGTGGGCGAGACCAGAGGCAAAAGTCAGCAGAGTAACAAGTATAAATGCTATCTTTGTATAGTAGCCAACACACCCCTCTCTATCCTCCATTTAGACAAGCAACAGGTGTTATCAGGGTTCAAGGACACATTCCAGCTAGGCAAGAAGAAAAACAGGGTACAATGCAGGGCCAGGGAAAAGCGCAGCCTGGGACAGTTGCAGGCAGCAGACAAAGAGGCTGAGAAGAATAACAGTGACCTCATTGTGGGAGTTTACTATAGATCCCCAAGCCAAACGGAGGACATAGATGATGCCTTCCTGGAACAGATGGCCAAGCATGCAAAAGGAAGGGAGATAGTAGTAATGGGGGACTTCAATTACCCGGATATTTGTTGGATGTCAAACTCAGCCAAGAGCATAAGGTCAAACAGATTCCTCACTGGCCTTGCAGACAACTTCATTGTCCAGAAAGTGGGAGAAGCAACAAGAGGAACAGCCATTTTAGATCTGGTCCTAACCAATGTTGATGACCTGGTTACTGGGGTAGAAGTGGAAGGATCATTAGGCGCAAGTGATCATGCTCTTCTGAAGTTTACTATACAGCGGAAAGGAGCAGCCAAGCATACTAGGACTCAATTTCTTGACTTTAAGAAAGCTGACTTCATAAAACTTAGGGAAGTGCTGGGTGAGATCCCATGGACAGTAATACTAAAGGGAAAGGGAGTTCATGATGGCTGGGAGTTTGTTAAGAGGGGATACTAAAAGCACAACGTCAGGCAATACCAATGAGACGGAAACATGGAAGGTGCCTAAAGAAGCCAGGGTGGCTATCTAAAGAACTTTTAACTGAGTTAAGATTTAAAAAGGATGTGTACAAAAAATGGAAAAGGGGGGAAACCACCAAAGAGGAATTCAAACAAATAGCCAGCACGTGTAGACACAAAGTCAGAAAAGCTAAAGCACAGAATGAACTCAGGCTTGCTAGAGAGGTTAAAAGCAACAAAAAAGGCTTTTATGGGTATGTCCGTAGCAAAAGGAAGAACAAAGAAAAAGTGGGGTCACTCAGAGGAGAAGATGGTGAAATGCAAACAGGGGACACAGAAAGAGCTGAACTCCTCAATGCCTTCTTTGCCTCAGTCTTCTCCGATAAAGAAAACAATGCCCGACCTGAAGAATTTGGAGCAAATGATTCAGCAAAGGAAACACAGCCCAGAATAACTAAGGAGATAGTACAAGAATACTTGGCTAGTTTAGATGTATTCAAGTCTCCAGGGCCAGATGAACTGCATCCAAGAGTATTAAAAGAACTGGCAGATGTGATCTCAGAACCACTGGCAGTCATCTTTGAGAATTCCTGGAGAACAGGCAAAGTCCCGGCAGACTGGAGGAGGGCAAATGTTGTCCCTATTTTCAAAAAGGGGAAAAGAGAGGACCCAAATAATTACCGCCCAGTCAGTCTGACATCAATACCAGGGAAGATTCTGGAGCAGATCATTAAGCAAACAGTCTGTGAGCACCTAGAAAGGAATGCTGTGATCACCAATAGTCAGCATGGATTTCTGAAAAATAAGTCATGTCAGACTAACCTGATCTCGTTTTTGACAGAATTACAAGCCTGGTGGATGAAGGGAACGCAGTGGATGTAGCCTACCTTGATTTCAGCAAGGCATTTGACAAGGTGCCTCATGATATTCTTGTAAAGAAGCTGGTAAAATGTGGTCTTGACTATGCTACCACTCAGTGGATTTGTAACTGGCTGACTGACCGAACCCAAAGGGTGCTCATCAATGGTTCCTCTTCATCCTGGAGAAGAGTGACTAGTGGGGTGCCACAGGGTTCTGTCTTGGGCCCGGTCTTATTCAACATCTTTATCAACGACTTGGATGATGGACTCAAGGGCATCCTGATCAAATTTGCAGATGACACCAAATTGGGAGGGGTGGCTAACACCCCAGAGGACAGGATCACACTTCAAAACGACCTTGACAGATTAGAGAACTGGGCCAAAACAAACAAGATGAATTTTAACAGGGAGAAATGTAAAGTATTGCACTTGGGCAAAACAAAATGAGAAGCACAAATACAAGATGGGGGACACCTGGCTTGAGAGCAGTACATGTGAAAAGGATCTAGGAGTCTTGGTTGACCACAAACTTGACATGAGCCAACAGTGTGACGCGGCAGCTAAAAAAGCCAATGCAATTCTGGGCTGCATCAATAGGAGTATAGCATCTAGATCAAGGGAAGTAATAGTGCCACTGTAGTCTGCTCTGGTCAGACCTCACCTGGAGTACTGTGTCCAGTTCTGGGCACCACAGTTCAAGACGGACAGTGACAAACTGGAACGTGTCCAGAGGAGGGCAACCAAAATGGTCAAAGGCCTGGAAACGATGCCTTATGAGGAACGGCTAAGAGAGCTGGGCATGTTTAGCCTGGAGAAGAGGAGGTTAAGGGTGATATGATAGCCATGTTCAAATATATAAAAGGATGTCACATAGAGGAGGGAGAAAGGTTGTTTTCTGCTGCTCCAGAGAAGCGGACACGGAGCAATGGATCCAAACTACAAGAAAGAAGATTCCACCTAAACATTAGGAAGAACTTCCTGACAGTAAGAGCTGTTCGACAGTGGAATTTGCTGCCAAGGAGTGTGGTGGAGTCTCCTTCTTTGGAGGTCTTTAAGCAGAGGCTTGACAACCATATGTCAGGAGTGCTCTGATGGTGTTTCCTGCTTGGCAGGGGGTTGGACTCGATGGCCCTTGTGGTCTCTTCCAACTCTATGATTCTATGATTCTATGATTCTATGATTCTAGGCCTGGAGGGCTGCATTTGGCCCGAGGCCGGAAGTCCCATTCCCTTGCTGCATCTGACCAATTTCACTGGATGACCCTAAAATGTAGAATGAGAGAGGGTGAAACCATTTTCTATCCATAGCACACATTGCCTGGTAAGCTTCTCTCATGCCCTTCCTTTTAATCATTTCTCTCATTTTCTCTTTCAAACTAAAAAAAAAAGCCACAAACACTTTGGATTTTCCTTGCTGGGAATGCGCTCCAATCTGCCGAACGTTCCCACTCCTTGGCATCAGCTCCAGATTGCTCTCTGTTCTTCTCATTAGAGCAGCAGTTGCCCGCTGTAATTAAAACCACTTCCAAATTTAATGACTTAAGCAGCAACATGACACAGATGCCTTATTATACCAGATAGTTAACACAGTATTCATTTTCCCAGCCAATTTCACTTGCTAATCTAAAACATTGCCACTACCTTATAATCAAGGTGCTGCAAGGGGGCACGCAATGGTGCCGTCAGCGCAGGACTTTGGGGCAGATGTCCAGGGGCCCCCCACTCAGTAGAATGAGCAGGAGGGTTCCCCAAATGCAGCAGGGCTGGCTTACCACATTTTGAAGTAATACACATTACAATCTAAAGAGGGAGGCCCCCATAAGACCATTAAGTCCAAGTTTAAGGGCACCTCAAACTTTTCCCAAATGGGTTCTCCCAAACACCTGTTTGCCCCATCCAAACCATGGGCAGCCGATGTCATATTCACAGTGCAGTAACACAACCACAGGACCCAGCAGCACTGTGGGTTGTGTTATAATGGCAGGCTCATCACAGTGCAGCCTTGGTCAGGCGGTGGTGGTTTTTTTAAATAGGCTCCTACTCCCAAAGCTTAATGTTCTATTCAACAGCTTCATATTATTCAGCAGCAGGAACATGAGAAACTGCCACACAGAGTCATATCATTAATCCTAGGCTCAGTATTGTCTACATCGGTGGTTCTCAAAGGGTGTGGCACACTACAATGGTGAGGTAGGAGAGGATGGCAAGTGTGGCAAGAAGATTCAAGGACAGTCAAAGAAACATTTAAACATTTCAGTGTAGTATAGTATAGTATAGGATAGGATAGGATAGTATCTATATATATATTTGCAGAATATGAATATTTTGGGAACAATTCATGTTTGCATGTAACTGCTTTGCTTTATACCTTCTGGGTGTCCAGTGAGCATATTATAAAGTATTTGATTTATATATCAGTCTTCATCACAAGATCTCAGGGAGGTCCACAAGATAAAAATACAAGGTAAAAAGCACAAATAAACAAGGTAAAAGCGCAAATTGTTAAAACAGAAACAACAAAATAATAACCCCCCTCACAAACACATTTAAAAAGCTATAGAATGTTAATCAGCCAAAGGTCTGGTTGAAGAGGAATGTTTTTGCCTGGCACCCAAAGATTTATAATGAAGCTACCAGACAATCTTCCTCATAGTAGATGTGTTCTATGTTATAAATCAAGCACTGCTAGTTGTTGTTTATTTCTGTTTTCCAATGTATTTCTTACCAATTAAAAGAATTGGTGTGGCATAAGCAAATTTTTATTCTGAAAGTGTGGCCCAGAGAAAAAGGTTTGAGAACCACTGGTCTACAATCAAGGGTGGGGAATCTGTGGTCCTCCAGATGTTGCTGGACTACAACTCCCATCATGCTCTCGGGGCCGACAGGCATTGAAATCCAACATCTGGAGGGCTCCACGTTTCCCCACCCTTCTCCATCTGCACTGAAAGACAGCAGTTCTTCAGGGTTTCAAACAGGAGTCCTTCTAGTCATACCTGATCCTGGGACGCCTGCCGGCAAAGCAGCCATTTTACCACTGAGCTGCTGCCCCTCCCCATTTCCCAAGCTCTGCGTGCAGCTTTGCTTCTTGGCAAACTCAACCCTGCAGGGCCAAAATGGCTCCAGGTTTCACAGAACAAAAGCAGCTGTGTTCATATTTTTAAATATTAGTGTGTGTTTTTTAAAGGAGCGATCAACTGAGCCCAACCTAGGAGACAAATTCTAACCCAGCCCCCAAATTTGGTGGTTTTATGCCTGCAGGAATTGGAAGCGTAACATGTGCCTCCCCCTCCCCAAGAGGCAAACACTGCTAGGGTTTATACAGCCCCACGTCATCAGAGACCCCATATCTTGTGGGGCCCATCTCTTTCGACTTGTGCACAAAGGGAGAAAATAGGACATTGCCCTTCTGACTGCTGAGCCCTTAGGGCAAACGTTTGTGAGCCCATTTTAAAATGTCTTCTGATTAGAGTCACACGATTAGAGAGGGGTCTGGACAGCAGCAGGAAAAAGGGGGGAAGGGGAGAACATGGTGCCATTGATCCATGGCAGCTAGCAGAGCCAGCAACGCCACTGGATGGAATAGGCCTGCCCACCCAGAACACTAGCCACTGCTCTTTCATCCTAGAGTCAGATGTGTGCACACTCTGTGTGTGTGTGCACATTATAACAGCGTTTATACAAACCTTTCACAGACACTGTTGTTTCAGAGAGCTTTTTGGCACACACCGTCACTATATGATTATTTGGCTCAAGAATTGTAGAGATGGAAGGGACCCCGAGGGTCATCTAGTCCAATCCCCTGTAATGCAGGAATCACAACTAGATCATACGTGACAGGCTGCCATCCAACCTCTGCTTAAAACCTCTAAGGAAGGAGAGTCCACCACCTCTTGTGGGAATCTGTTCCATTGTTGAACAGCTCTTACTTTCGGAATGTTTAGTCGGAATAGCCTTTCTTGCAGCAATTTTCTGCTGGGGGGGCCATATTTGTTTGATTAAAACTTTGTTTTATCCATCTGCAACTGCTGTATAATGTATTATTATTATTACCCCGCCCATCTGACTGGGTTTCCCCAGCCACTCTAGGCAGCTCCCAACAGAATTAAAAGCACAATAAACCACCAAACATTAAAAACTTCCCTAAACAGGGTTGCCTTCAGAGGTCTTCTAAAAGTCAGATAGTTGTTTATTTCTTTGACATCTGATGGGAGGGCATTCCACTGGGCAGGCGCCGCTACCGAGAAGGCCCTCTGCGTGTAGAGGTGATAAGATGGAAGCAAGCAAGCAAGCAAGCAAACAAGCAAGCACTTCCTAAAGTACAAGAGGAAATGGCTACAAAAACTGTTTGCCACCCCATACTGAAAGAACAGAATAAGAAAAGCAGCCCAGAAATGAAAGCATGTTCCTCAAAGTGACCAGGAGATGCTCGCTCTGATGCCAAGAGCTGCAGAGTCCCATTGTAAGACTGTTTGCCTTTCATGCAAAAGAAGGGTAGGGAAATAATTCAGAAAGCAAGGAGTCACCCAACCCCCCCTTACCCCCCTGCCCGAAGTGGCACAACCGCGGTGTCAAAGTGCACTGTTTGCTGGAAGGCACTGCCATCTGCAAGAGCGCAACATTTCATCTCCGGTAAATAAACACATCTGCTTCTGCCAGTGTCCTCCCTGCTGTGTGGCCCATCTGGAGCAGGTAAGCTGGGAGGCAAGCGTGGGCACGGAGGGAGAGGAACAGGCAGGATCAGGCCTCAAGGGACCTGGCACGCAGAGGAAGGAGGCAGAGTCCCGCCCTGTCGCATCCTGCTACCCCCTCTTCGCCAAGTGGCATGTTAAATTGCCCTCGTTAGTGAGGATGCTCCAAGCCAGTGTCACCTGGGCCATCTGTTCCAAAGGTCACATGACCTTGCAGAGCAATGCAAGAAGGGAACACTCAGTAACCAGGACAGTTTGGGAAAGAAAACCCAGTAATTGTGGTGTATGTTTCTTTCTCTCAAGGAGTCCCCTACAGGCTGGTAAGGGAAAACTAGAAATCCATATACAGTGGTACCTCGGTTACAAACTTAATTCGTTCAGGAGGTCCATTCTTAATCCGAACCAGTTGTTAACCTGAGGCATGTTTTCGCTAATGGGCCTCCTGCCGCTACGTGATTTCCGTTCTCATCCTGGGGCAAAGTTCTCAACCTGAGGCACTACTTCCGGGGTAGTGGAGTTTGTAACCCGAAGCATTTGTAACCTGAGGTACCACTGTGTGTGTGTGTGTGTGTGTGTGTGTGTGTGTACGTACGTACATGTGTGTACACACACACACACACACACACACACGGGAACTGGCCCAAAAAGCATTCCCTATTTTAACCTGCTGTACTCAATATCCAAATATGCTATTATTTTGCAACTTGGTTTTCTACATACTGGTGCAGACAATATCACACCATGTCAACCAGGGTTAGCTGCTCATTCAAGAGCCAGGAGGTTGCCCAGGATGGTGGGGAAGGATGGGAGAAAGACTAGCCAGTTGACCAGCCAAATACCGTCAAAATAAAAGTCATGCATTAATTCAAGTATTAACCTTGTAAAACTATAACACAGACAGAAAGATCTATATAGAAGTACAACACTGGAAGATGTATACAATGGACAAAAATCGTGATTAAACAATGAAATAAAACACTATTATAAACCATCATATACATCCAGCAATGCTATGTACATTTAAACACACATCAACAATTTTCAAGAGACAGAGTGGCTTTGGGGGCTTTTATTGAGAACCCCCAAAACAACACATCTAATTGAAGGGAGGCAGTAGTGAAAGTTGCAGCCACCCCCAGGCCCAGTTCTGACATACTAGCAAAGCCATGGAATGGCAGTCACATGCTCCCTTCTCACTACATGCACTCCACTTGCCCCCCAGGTTTGAGCAAGCTATCTCAAAACCAGAAATGGAGTTCTAACTTGGTTGGCCTAAACTCAAGAAAGTGCATGATCCTGACACAGTGCAGACAGACAGACCATGGTTTCCCCAGGTGGTATGAGTCAGGCGAGGGTTCAGGGCAGTGCCCAGGAGCCTGGAGTGCTGGGAAGCAAGAAGGCCCCACTGTTTCCTTTGTGAGTAGAGACACAAGAAAAGGCTGCCTCCCATATAAGAATATCTCACCATAGTCACAATATTATACAACCAATTGACAAGGTGTCCCACCAGGGCCCCAAGAATGTAAGAAAAGCCTGCTGGATCATTTCAGTGGTCCATCTAGCCCAGCATCCTGTTCTCACAGTGGCCAACCAGATGCCTCTGCGAAGCCCATGAGCAGAACCTGAAATCAAGAACATGTTGTCCTCCTGCCGTTTCCAGCAAATGGTATTTAGAGGTGTACACCGAGGAATAACATAGCTGTCCAGGCTAGTAGCTATTGATAGCCTTCTCCTCCATGAATTTTCTAGTCCTCTTTTAAAGCCGCCCAAGTTGGTGGCCATCATTACCTCTTGTAGGAGTGAATTCCATAGTTTAACTATGAACCGTATCTTCTGTCTTTCATGAACCTTTCAACGTTCAGCTTCATCGGGAGTCCATGAGTTCTAGTGGTCTGCCTACTTTCTCCATATCATGAATAGTCTTTTCCATCATGTCCCCTCTTCGTAGCCTTTTCTCTAAACTAAAAAGCCCCCAATGCTGCAACCTTTCCTCCATCCCCATCATCATTCTGGTTCTCCTTTTACTGAACCCTTTCCAACTCTACAATATCCCTTTTCAGGTCAGACCAGAATTGTACACAGTATTCCAACTGCATCTGCACCATAGATTGGTATAATGGCATTAGGATAGCAACATGTTTTCTTTTCTTTTAGAGATGCGATGCATCGGGTGCCATTTGATGGCCAGGAAACAGATGAAGGAGATAACAAGCAGAAGCGATAGGAGGAGGGAACTGCGTTCATGTTCCTGTGCTGGAAAAGACAGCTGAGGAAGGAGTTTCTTGCAAAAGGACCATGAAAAGCTCAGTAATGGAATTAGGGGGAGAGGGAGAGAGAGAGAATGCGCACATGTGCGCACACAGTTCAGCTTCATATGATATTTACTCAAAGCTTCATGTTCAGTTTTGACAAAAAGCACTTGTTTGGCTCAGCACATCAAACAGCTTTGCTCCATTAATCTTCCTCTCAAAACAATTTAAACAGAATCTGCGCATTTGCATGAGAAGTGAAGTCCTTATCAGTAGGTTGTTTTTTTAAAGGGCTTAATTCCTTTCTGCTGTCTGTGGCTGCTTGAGAGAAAAACAATTCTTCACTCTGGAAACTGAAAAAGTTAACACCACGACCGTTGCAAAGAACTGCCTATCACAAGTCTGTCCAACTTGCAATTCTCAAAGCCAAATGCAGTAAGACTCCTGGAGTTTGCTTCTTAAGTAGGACTGGAGGATGGGAAGGCACTTGGCAGGAGACAATTCTTAATTTATGCGTGTGTGTTACATTTGGCTCACTAGATTACAAATGGTGCAGACCTGGCCTATTAACCAGTATTTTGTTATAGTCTATCAATCTCTGCAACTCAATCTGGGCCAAGGCTCTTGCTTGTCAGGATGGAAGGTGGAGCCTTGCATGGGGTGTTTGTACATGTAGAAACTGATTTCGACATGCCTGAACATCGCCTACTGAACGAACAAAGATAACAGCAACATTTATTGCTCTACCCACTTTTGCCTCTGGCTCTGCCCGCCAATGGTATGCAGCCCCCAGGAGTTTGCCTATAAGCCTTATGGTATAATACTTAGTCTGATCCAGCATCTGAGTCCCAAGTTCTGAAAGGGAAGGTTCTGAACATTCATGCCATTCTATAGTTAACACTGAGAACACCCCAGCTAAAGCAATAGCATCCAGGTGCTATAAAGCCTCTTAACTGCGGAATGAAATCAAGGGATCTCAGGCACATTGGGCTGTATGTAGCCAATGTTAGTCCTACTTGGAGCAGATCCATTGAAATTAATGGACATGGGTAATTCAGGCCCATTAATTAAAATGAGTGGGAAATCCACAACCCACTGAAGTTACAGTAAGTACAGTAAGCCAATTTTACTTTTGAAGATGTCTACTGCACTAAGTCACACATTTCCCCAAAATTCAATTCAGGAAGTCTCAACAATCTTCCTACTAATATATTTTGTCACTGAAAGGCGTTCTCTCTCTCTCAAGTCTGAGTTCAGACTTCCGTGAAAATGTACTTTCAGATTTGGTGCAATATCTGGAATAAGCACAGGCAAAGGTGTCTGCCTCACTTGTGAGTATCCAGACATCAAGTGGTATATGGATGGTTGCAGTTAGAACAAAATGCTGGAATAAGCACAGTCAGATCCAGCAACAGTGTTCCTACTTACTAGTTGACGATCAAGCTGTTACAATTAATATATAAAGCCCTTAACAGCTTAGAACCAGTTTACAGTGGTATCTCGGGTTACAGACGCTTCAGGTTACAGACTGCGCTAACCCAGAAATATACCCTGGGTTAAGAACTTTGCTTCAGGATGAGAACAGAAATTGTGTGGCGGCGGCAGGCCCCATTAGCTAAAGTGGTACCTCAGGTTAAGAACAGTTTCAGGTTAAGAACGGACCTCCAGAATGAATTAAGTTCTTAACCCGAGGTACCACTGTACTTGCAGATTACCTTACCCCATTTGTGCCCACTAGACCACTGTCATCTGTGGAAGTGGCACTGTTACAGTTCCAGGAAATGCTCACACCGCAATAAGAAATAAATCTTTTCTCATGGCAGCACCTACACTTTGGAACTCTCTGCCTTCGCTGTATTCTTTTTGGCACCTGTTTAAGCAAGTCCATACTGACAAATAGTAGTACACCTACCTTATTTTTTAACAACAACAATAATTTTATTTGTACCCCACCTAGCTGACTGGGTTTTTAGCTACTGTTGATTCTAAAACTCTTTCAGATGTTTTAAAATACCTGTTTTTAACTGTATTTTATCAAGAGTTTTAATATTTTATTTTATATATTTTAAAGTTTTTTTCAAGTGATATATAAATTTTGTTGAATAAATAATGTTCATGGTAGATGTAATTCTGTTATCTGCATGTTTCTACGGTCACAAATATGGTTTCAGCTCTTGCAAGGCACCTTTTTGTGAAATGCCTTTGCCCCATAGCAAAAAGATACCAAACCCAGTTTGCAGAACACTCAGTTATTAACTGCTTGCTGCTACCCCAACAACAACCATGGTGAAAAAAGCAGCTGTCTGTTTCTAAAGAAGAGGCTGGTCACATGCAATCTCCATTTTTATGTGGTGCGTTCTGCCCTGCAGCACTCAGTCATGAGTAGGCACATGCCTGCAATTTTACTTTTTTTAAAGCAAAGAACAAATGTCATATCAGAAAGACCTGGAGAAGAAATACTGCAATGATAAAGAGATGCAACAGAAGAAAAAAGGAAAACAGGAATGATTTCTTTGCTTTTCTGTGGAGGCCTGATTAACCTTAATGCTCATTGGCTCACAGCAGGTGTAGAGTAGTAGCTACAAGTCAGGAAGGTCTGAATCATACCACTGCTATCATTTCACTAGGCAGGCTTAAGATAACCACTGCCTGAACATCGCATCTGCATTATGAGTATACTACTGTCCTACCTTACAGGGCTGTTGTGAAAATGTACAAGGTGGTGATGATGATGATGATTAATTTCATTTATGAATTGTGTCCTATACTATTACAATACAACAGTGTAAGAAGGTTGCATATATAAACAGTTTTAAACACTGCATATATAAAACAGTTTAAAACAACAGCAGCACACACATAAAATCAATTCAAATGTAATATAGATACAAAGCAGCTGCGTTCAGATGTCACAACAAACTGAGCACAAGGGAAGGAAAGTACAAGTTTCTGTTCATAGTTAGGAACAAATCAAGTTTCCCTTGTTTGGAGCATGGCTTGTTGAGACATTTGGATGTAGCCCACTGCATGTTAAGAGCTTTGACAATTAAACACATTGTATAAATACTAAGTATAATGCAGTTTCATGTAAACTCTGGGGTACAGCCCTTCCTCTATTACCCTTGGCACAGGGTTTCAAATTTAGTTTAGTTTAGTGATGGGGGTCCAAGCAGCCTCCCTTTGGGAAGCTTTCACATATGACACCAAATAAACATTTTGGCACTTGTGTTTGCAAATATGTAGCACACTGGTCTTCAGCTGGCAGGTTGAGTTGAGGCCTGATCCAAGGTGGGTCACAACAGGACCACTACCACCATGCATATAAAAGGCAAAGGATTAAAATATGGATCCCCAAATGCATATTTGGTTAAAAAGTGGGTGACAGCACATAAATGAGGAGAAAGGCTATTTTCAGTTAAAATATATCACTCAGTACCGTAACCATTTAAGAACCATTTGAAATGGCACATGCTTTCACATCCCTGTGAAGCAACACAGACTCAGCAATGCCTGCTACCCGTTCCCAACTGCCACCTTCACTAAAAGGTAAACGCAGCACTCAAAAAATATATATATATACACACACACACACACACACACACACATTCAAATATCCTGATTATATTCGCCTTATTCCCTGGTTCATTGCCTGTATGGCAGTGGCAGGTTCAGAGCCGTGCTATTAGATTGGCTCCCAACTTTGAACCTGCTTTTCCTAGAGCAACTGTAAGTACTATGTGCCATTGTCTGTAAGGGAAAGCCAACATGCAAGCTCCTGTACATTTGGCAGAGTGGTCCCACTGCATAGCTGACAGGGTGGATTTGATTTAAATCACTAGTCAGTAAGACTTGATTTAAATCATATATATATATATATGAAGACTCATTCTTGCTGGTATAATCTTAATATTTACAACCAGATGAAGGTTTCATTTTTGGAATAATAAATTTTCAGAGTAGTTTTTACAGTTATAGCAAAAATTACTGATTTGGTTATACTATTAGAAATACCGTAGATTCCGGCGTATTAGGCGACTGACTGGATTAGGAGACCCCCCCCCAACTGGCAGCTGCAATTTGAGGATTCGTCTTATAAGTCCAGTTGCCCAATACGCTGGGCAGCAACAGGGGGCGGGCTCAGCTCCGCACCAGGAGAAAGCCACCCGGCATGGAGCCAAGCCCGCTGCCCGCCACCACAGCGGGGGTCGGGCTCTGCTCCGCGCCACCCATACCCGGTGTATAAGGCGACCCCCGACTTTGGAGAAGATTTTCCGGGGTTCAAAAGTCGCCTTATACACCGGAATCTACGGTACATTAACAGATAATTATGAAATTATTGTGAGGTTTAGTAAATTAACTGTTTATATTTGGACAACTTTTCTGCTGTACTTTATTGGAAGGAGAAAAATTATCATTTCCTTAATAACAATTTAAACAGTTTATTTAACTAAAACAATAACATTACAGCATATGTATCCATGTTTGTTTGCAGAAGGAAAACTCCCAATCTCCTGCTCTCCCCTTCACTACTCTGAACATGGGGCAGGGACTGCTGGTGGAGAGGAGTGCTACCCAACCTTGTTGTAGATGATTCTCCCCCCTTCCAGAAGCCCCCATGACCCATCGCACACTGAAAGGTCAAGGGGACCTCCTGAACAGAGAGAAAGCACAACTTCTGAAAGCTGCCTTACTTACCCTACTCCGCAGATAGTCAGCCAGATTTCGGCGTGTGAAATTGGCAGCTGCAGTCGGAGACAATTCATACCCTGTTAAGAAAAGGAAATAATCATCTACTATATATTTTGGCAATTTGTTTGCTGTTCATTTGGACACCTCTTGAGATATCACAGAGGCTTTCAGCTGTTTGGATGCAAGTGGAAGACATTTTGAATCAAGATGGCAAACTGAACTTTTCAAAACTACACTGATTTTAACTGCTGATTTCAAAGCTGCACTGATATTTTTATTTCTTGGAATTCCTAAGCGCCAGGTACAAGGCTGCTAACAAACAGAAGGTGAGTGGAAATTCATTCTAGGAGAATACCTAACCTATGTACAGCAACATCTTCAGCTGGTTTGCAAAGAAAAGAACAGTATTTGTTTTAAAAAAAATCATTGAACAAATACTACAAGTGGAGCAATGATACTCCAACCTCTTGCAGTCAGGACCAGAAGCATTCCTCAACAGATGAGTTGGGGCAGAGAATGTCAGCAGCCTTGTCACCTGGGCATCTAATGTTACTTCCTTTCCAGGTCTATGGAGGGAGAGAACAGCTAGAATTGTAGATAGAAGGGACCCAAAGGGCCATCTAGTCCAATGCTGGAATCACAGTTTGCATGCAGCAACTTCTAGACAGTTGCTGGTTTCAGGTGAAATTGAATTATGTAATGGCAAATTCTGCTTTTGTGCAATTGTAGTTGATTACAAGGTCTGTGATCACATAGGTAGAAGTGAGGGAACATGGGCACCAAGGGTGTTTGGAAGACATGAGTTAATCCAAGGATGAAGAATTATCTAGTAACACTCTTTTAGGACTCTCCCTCCCCAAACTGTGGGTGGGTGGATAGGAAATCAATATTTTGAATGACTCAAGTAAAAAAACTCCCTCCACTTAGAAAATGTGTGTATTTATCCTACTTTCCTATTCTTGAAGTACTAGTCTCCTAAGGACAGAGAGTCTGCTTGCTCTTTGAATACAGATGGGGGAAATTAACTATGGGAGCCCACCCCAAACCTTGACCTTGACGTAAAACACCCCAGTTATGCTACTGTTCCGGATGTGCAGACTGACTCTTAAGAGTCGAAAAGAACTGCAAGCATGTAAATTTCCCCCCAAGTTGGCAGAAGTGCTCTATAGACTCTCAGCAGTGTCATTCATGAGAAGTGGGGAAAGAAGACTGCTAGAGTGACAGATTTGAGACATGGCGGGGAGGGGGCACAGATCCATTCTCTGCAACTGAGCCAAATCAAGGTGCATGCCAAATCTGGGGTGAGAGAGAGTTATCAGCCTGGATCTAACATAATCATAAGTCTTGTGGGTTTTGTCTGAAGTGTTTAGAAAGCATACAGCTTACCAATGCAGAATCCTAGACTTATTTATTCTACTCTATACGTTCAGTGGCACAGCACCACACAGTACTCACCATTCCTCATCTTGTAGAGCTGGACATTTTTCTGGATATACTCTGCAAACTGGACAGTGTCCCCAGCCTCCCCAACACATAGAAGCAAGATTTTCTCACTCATCTTGAACATCTTGTCATGATCTAAATCAAGAGGATGGAGGAAAAACACACCAGTCAGAAATAAGGACAAGCTACAGTGAAGTGTTTCATTTTGAGAGACAGAGTGAGAGCAAAATGAGCAGAGGGCTATTTTCCCCTGCATGGGCAAAGTTAAAACATTAGTAACTTATTGAATAAACAAGACTTGCACACTTGTGGATTAATTACAGAATCAGATCTGAAGAACTTAAATAAGTTTTTTTTATCTTTAAACAGCCATCCAACCCAACATTTTCATAATATAAATGTTTACAATTACTAGATCAATCAGTGACAGACAGATGATTAATTCGTTGGCAGCAGTAAAAAAACGATAAGGAAAAGAAGTCTGAAAGCAGTAGTAGAGTTTAGGAAGTGCTGAAAGTCATGGGGAGGGAGAGGGGTAGAAAGTCATGAAAATCACTAAGATGCATTTTCCTCTGGAAATAAAATTTTGGAAAAATAAGTGGTTTTTTAAAAAGAAAAAGACTTTACTATTACTACAACCAATCAGAGGAAGAATGCTTTCATATGCCACTAATGGTTCTGCAATCTCATCTTATCCTCAGCCTGCATTAACTAGATGATAGATAAATGTATTAAATTCATTTCCCAGAAGCCCCTTGTGTCTTTGGGAAAAGCAACATTCTATGTATTTAGGATCCCCTCCACAGAACAGTCTAAATCTCCGTATCAGAACCTCTCCATCATTTGCTGTTTACTGCTGAATAATCTTCCCTGGAGGACATGTTTAAGAGTTTCTGATACGTTCCATCCTTTAACAGGATTAGCAGAGTATTTTGCAGCTGTTAAAATAATTTAAACACACACACACACACACAGAGAGAGAGAGAGAGAGAGATTTTTCCTGGGATCTGAATGGGAAAGCTAACAAAATGCCAAGAGAGTCTTTGTCACCAGTTCTCAAAAGCAAAAGGCTCAATGTGGTGCCCTCCAGATGTGTTGGGCTATAAGCCCCATCAGCCTCAGCCAGTACAGCTGGCCTGATGGGAGTTGAGGTTCAACACATCTGAAGAGCGCCGGGTTGGCAAAGGCTGCCCTGCATAATGCACTAACAAGGAATGTTGCCCATCGGGCTACTGAGGTACAAACAAATCACTCCAGCATTCGAAATTCCCTGAGTCCAAGGAGGGTGGACCTCCTGAAAAAACCCTTGACTTCTGAGCATGCTCAGTGGCCACTGAATGCTGGCTGACAGGGTTGGGGGTTTTTTAGAATGGGGGTATACAGTAATTGAAAACAAGCGGGAAAGTTTTGTAGTACTTTATATGGGAAGCTGAAATATTGAAAAGAAGCACTACACAATGCAACATTTGGTGGCAGGTTCCACCTGCAACAATAAATGTAATCTATAGAAGAATGGGAAACTGCAAAACTCAAGATGTTGCTGGACTTATCATCTCTAACCATTGGCCATGCTGGCTGGGGCTGATGGGAGTTGACCTAGAGCACTGGTATCCAACTTTTGGGTTGAGACTTACAAGTGATGAGTTTTCCAATAATCAATAAATTAAAAAACACACACCAATTGCCATAAAAGTGTGGTGCTCTGATTGTAAGTAGTATGTTACATTAGTTTTATATGCTATATAACTCTCAAAAAAAGTTTTTCCAATAGCTAAATGTAGCTGGAAGTACTGAAATAATATGGAAAAAATGATAAAGTGCACTTAGTACAGTTTAAAATGGTGCATTAAAACAAATTGAAGACTTTACTTGGAACGGCAACTCAATAGCACACGCTCCCCTTACATTATTTAAACTTTGGGGTGAGGGAAATGAAAGTCCTACAAGCTATTAGCATACATATTTTACCACACTTGAATTGCTGCACGTAGTATTGTATTCATTCCAGTTGCTCAATTTAACTTGCATCACATTAATTACACTGCAGACGGACAGAGCAATCTAAACCCCTGATCTGTCATGCGCGGGAGGTTTGAATGAGACAGTGTCCCTCTGCCCAGCCTTGCTGGCCTCCACTCTGCTGCCCTGCTGATGAGAAGCACCACAGTGCACCTGGTGAAGCAGCTGTAGTCAGTGGACACCCCCAAAATGGCATAGAAATAGCTGGATCCTGAGCTGCTGAGCTTCTTTCTTGCACGAGCCTTGGAGCTGGTACAGAGAAGAGGCATTTTTAATGCCCTCTCCCCTTTCAACATGCACACCAGGACTGTGGATATAGTAGTGGTGGCCATCCCACTCCATCAAGCCCTGCCACTGCAGGCCAGGCATTTGGCCTCTCATTTTATGAAACTATGCATTTCTAAATAAAATATACAGGAAAATAAGGCATTAGAATTTTTTCTACCCTATATCACTAGCTTTAATTGAATATGATATACAGCAATTTCATCACTTCTGTTTTCTATTTTATTCAGGGCTCGTTTATAGAAAGAGAACAACCAAATGCAAAGGAGGTCATGGCTCCTACGTCTTTTAATAGTTGTGAAGAAGAAGGAATTCTGATAAATGCATGTTTGCTCATCCTCACCATTACAAACTGTTCCATCAACACTTCTATCCAACAGTTCAAATTAACAGAGCCCACTTAACCCCACTTTGGACATGGACAGCCTATGGGCATTTAAATAAGAAATGGATCTCATGTTGTACGATGCAGTTAAAGTTTGGCGTAAGTGGATTTTTCTGTGCCAAGACAGCTCAACTCTGGTGCTCAACAAATATTCTTCATCTCATAATCCATTCATTTTAAGTGGAAATATAGGAAGCTGCCTTGCGCCGAGCTGGACCATTGGGCCATCTGACCCAGCACTTTCTACCAGGAGCTCACTAGGGTATGAGACGGAACCTGCAAACTTCTACATGCAGAGCCCATCCTCTGTCACTGCGTTAAAGCCCTTGCATGTCTTTTGCACAAGCTTATGGCTGGTGGGGGAAAAAGTGGATCCTGGAAGTCCATCCCAATCTAACTGCTAGGAATATAGGAAGCAAGATCAGCCAAGTTGCCTTTCTAGCTCAGTACTGTCTGACAGGAGCTCTCCAAGATAAAGGAACTTTCCCATCACCTGCTACATAGACCTTTTAACTGAATATTGAATCTCAGATCTTCTGCATGCAAAGCATGTGCTCTTCCACTGAGCTATGCCCATTCCCATGAAATAATACAGGAAGAAAAGGAGCTGCTTTATACCTAGACCCACAACCACAACTATGACCAGTTGTGACTTTCCGGGATTTCCAAGACCCCTCCTGCATACCCATCTATATTCTGCGGAGATGTTTTTGTATCACCCTTCTCCTTAAAGTGAAGATTGCAAAAACCGAACCTGGTACTCCCTGCCATAGCTGTCAACTTCTCCCTTTTCTTGCGAGGAATCCTATTCAGAATAAGGGAATTTCCCTTTAAAAAAAGGAAACGTTGACAGCCATGCTCCCTGCACAGAAAGCACGTGCTCTGGTACTGAACTGCACTCCCTCCCCTAAGTTGTGGAATCATCTCCACACCGAAGTGCGCCTGGGATCTTCATTACACAGCGTTCGAGAAGCCGCACCTCTTCACCTTGGGGTGCCCACCATATTATTGCAACTATCATCTGTTTCAAACTATTTGCAATGCTGTAGCCCACCTTGGGGCCTTATGGCGAAGGAAACCGAAATACAGTGGTACCTCGGGTTAAGTACTTAATTTGTTCCGGAGGTCCGTTCTTAACCTGAAACTGTTCTTAACCTGAAGCACCACTTTAGCTAATGGGGCCTCCTGCTGCTGCTGCGCTGCCGGAGCACGATTTCTGTTCTCAACCTGAAGCAAAGTTCTTAATCCGAGGTACTATTTCTGGGTTAGCGGAGCCTGTAACCTGAAGCGTATGTAACCTGAGGTACCACTGTATAACTACCGGGTTGGAATGCAGGTCCTGCGTGGAAAGGTAACTACTACTAGGCCAAATCCCACCGATTCCACCAACGGGAACTCGAATGAGACTAACTTAGCCTGGATTCAGTTTCGTTTTCGAAGAAGCGGAGACGCCAGGGATAGATCTCACCAACACTACGCGTGCGAAGCAAGCGCTCGGCCCGCTGACCGCCCCCCGCCCGCTCTGACAGGCCCCTGCCCTCACTTTTCTCCACCCCACCCCCCGCTTCCCAGGGACTGACCGCGCTTCATCTGGACGACGCTGGAGGCGGCGATGGTGTCGGCGGCCACCAGCACGAAGTCGGGCCCTTGAATGCCGATGAGGTACTCCATCGGGCCCGGCCGGCAGCGACTAAAGCAGGAGCGGGCAACTGAACTTAGGCTGCCGAAGGGAGAGAGCGCGGAACAGTGACACAGCGAGACGGCGGAAAAAGAGCCGGCGCGCCGCGGCGCAGGGAAATGACGTCTACGGGGTGGTTTTTGAAGCTTCTCGCGAGAAACGGGTGCCTCTAGGCATTCAAGACTCTATGGTTCCTGCTCGCTCGTCCTTCTCTCGCTCTCTGACGTGCGCAGACGGGCCCCGCCCACGGAGTCCCCTTCGAGCCCACGTGATGTCTCCCGCCCTCCTTTCCCTTGATCCGCCTGTCCGCTTTCGCGTTCTAGTGGGCGGCGGCTCAGCGAGCACCTGTCCTGCAAAGCGCTCTCACAAACGGTCCAGATCATTAAAACACGCAGGTTTTTGCAGATGTCAGAGAAAGCCACCAGGGAGGGAAATCACTTACAAGCAGCTATTTAGTCTTAAAGGCTGAATAGAGCCTCCACGTGCAGGAACAGTATACCTGACACCGAGGAAAAACCGGGTAGGTGGGTGAAGGGGCGTTACCCCGTTTCTCTGCTTTGTGGGCTTCCTAGAGGTATCTTGCTCTGTGGGAAACAGAGTCCCGGACTACTAGGTCCAAATACTCAAATTATTTTGTTACTAATACTCTTAAACTGCACCTTTTCATTTTTGTTTCTTACTACTCTGTTAGCTACACTGGGAACATAAATGTATGCTGAAAGTGTGGATGATAAATAATGTAAATAGAATATCACTAAGCAAAGCCCTTTCTGTGGTTCTTAAACTGGCTACCATTCCAACAGGTACCTAGTTAGTTCCAGAGGTGGCAAAGAAAGACCAGTGCCCATCTTTGATTCCTTTTTGCATCTTCAAGCATCTCCATACATATTTTGGGCATTCCACTTCCATATTCTAGTACAGGGGTCAGCAGACTTTTTCAGCAGGGGTCCGATCCACTGCCCCTCAGACCTTATGGAGGACCGGACTATATTTTTTTGGGGAGCGGGAATGAACAAATTCCTATGCCCCACAAATAGCCTAGAGATGCATTTTAAATAAAAGGACACATTCTGCTCATGTAAAAACACTCTGATTCCCGGACCGTCCGTGGGTCGGATTTAGAAGGTGATTGGGCCAGATCCAGCCCCCGGGCCCTAGTTTGCCCACCCATGTTCTAGTACTAGCCTCCTTTAAAGCTTCCTGGTTTAGCCGCTGTCTCTTGGACACCTTTCTTATGAACTGTGATTGACTCACCTTTGGCAAACACACACCAAAACCCACTCAAGGATGTCAGAAGAGGGACCAGTGGCTCCCACTTCCCTGTGTGTTTACTTAATCTCCTGCTTTCTCCATCTCTATCCTGGAGAGTTTCAGGATTCTCAGAAGTGAGAGTGTAGCCTAAGCAGATCTGTAGGCAGGAGTCTGCAATTGCACTAACTACTCACCATGGTGAGTGAAATTCTGCCCTTTTGGTAGCATGACAAGCCAGCTACTATCTCTCAGCCGAACCTACCCCACAGGGCTGTTGTGAGAATAAGGCATTCCACTGAACTGAACTTCTTATCTTATGGTTTTAGCTGTTGTTGAACTGGTTTAGTTGTCAGATTCAGGTAGGTAGTTGTGCTGGTCTGACACAGTCAAAATAAAAATAATAAAAAATAAAAAATTGTCCAGTAGCACCTTATAGAACAACTAAGTTTGTTCTGGTATAAGCTTTCCTGTGCATGCACACTGTGTATATGAAGAAGTGTGCATGCACACGAATCTGAAGAAGAAGTGTGCATGCACAGGAAAGCTTATACCAGAACAAACTTAGTTGGTCTATAAGGTGCTACTGGACAATTTTTTATTTTTTATTACTTTTATTTTGGTTTAGTTGTCATGCTTCTTCACTGGCTTGTTTTACTGCATATTTTAATTAACAACTTTGAATTGCCCTAGTTGAATTGCTATTGTTTATTTTAATTTAATCTGGATTTTACCATTGATTTTATAGTTGCAAGCCACTTAGAAGCCACTTTGGCATATAGGCAATATATAAATAAATAATAAAGTAGTGGAGGAGATCTGAGCTTCTTGGAGGAAGAGTGGAATATAAATGTAATAAATAAAAATATATAATAAAGAGAATCTGAAAATGCTGTCCTCTGACCTACCCCGATAGCCCCCTTAATTTCTTGTTCCCTCTTCATCCCTTCTCTAGCACCCACTACTATTATTGTGTTTTCATCTCACCTTCCCCCCCCAAGGGATTATAATAATCCAGGGGTGACAAGCATGGCACCCATGGGGACCCTCTTGAGGTCTTTCCATGGTGTCCACAAAGTCGCTGTGTACTGCTCCAGCTGTCATGAAGTTGGTTTAGAGTTGAAGGAGGAAGTTGGAAGAATGGCACTTTTCCCCACTTCCTATTTCAGCTTAATGAGCTTCTCAAGGGTCGAATTAATTCTATGGGATACAACTTTTACCCAGGTCCCTTGGAAAAAGTAAAATGTATGTGAGTGGGTACACACTCTCTCTTCATGTCTCGGAGAAGGGTAGCTCACCCGGGAGAGGGAAGTGACCAGAGGGGCTGGCATGCCCGCAACAGTCATTCAAAAATCCGAATGTGCCCACAGATCTAAAAAGACTGGTGACCTCTGATATAACTTTACCTGCCTTGTGCTACCTGTTAGTGGATTGCACTTGGATTACATATGTTTTGTCTAGGCCTGCAAAATACACCAGGCAAGAGGCAGGCCTGTAGCTTTAAAAACATGCCAGGAGAATGAGTGATGGGGGTGGGAGATGGGGGGCCCACAACAGCAACAAATTGTCTTTAAGAAACTGTTTAAATGAGAGTAAGGCGGGTATTCACCATTTTGACTGTTTTCCAATCGCCCACAGCTACACTTGTTAAATTGAGCACCGCATGTGTAAATCAAAACAGGATGTTTTCCTTTACTGAACAATGGCAGAGCCCCATGCCAGTTTTTTAAGTGTGTGGATCCAATTTGGATTTTTAAAATAGGTTTTCCCTGTAGATTGTGAAGCGTAGTGCTCGCTACACACAAAGCCAGGCTGCCTAACTTAGGGGTTTGCATTATTTTATTTCCAAAAGAAGTTAACCAAAACCAGGGGGGGGACACTAACCAGCAGCTATCATCCTTGCCGATTTTTATTGTGCCCTAGGGTACAATTAAATGCTAAGGTTGTTATTGAATTGTCTTGACAGATTGAATTTTCAAAAGAGAGGCGAATCGGAAAGAGGGTAGGGAAAACATATAGACTGAATTTTCAAAAGGAAGGAAGAAAAATAAAGATTTATACGTACTAAGCACTGTACGTCAAGAAGCTCAGTCCAAAGCTGATTATGTATTACCAAACAGGACTGGAAAATTCTGAGGCGCCAATTTGACCTGGTGCCATAGGATATGATATTAGTGCACCTGGTAATTTGAACTACAGGCGGCAACTGCTTTGCGACCATTCAACTGATGTGCAACCGCCAACGCATGGGTTGTTTTGGACCTGGAAGAGTGTGGAATGGGGCAGAATGGGCTTATGTGTGCTCCACCGGCATGCACGAATGCCTGGAACGGAAATGGGGGGTTGCCTGTACAGTATTTTGTCAGCTTGGTGCAAAGCTCAGACCCAGCGCCACACTTCTCCATATTTTGCAATGCTGTTCTCCAGCCAAGTAATGTGTACCAAAATTTCTATACTAGGGTAAAGTGCGCATATATTACTGAAAATAACACACACAATGATAAGGAAAAAAATGCTTTCAAAAATGTGTAAGTTTGGCAAAATTTACCCAACAACGTTGCAGTGAGCCTCTAGAAAAACAGGGATTAGACTAGATGGTATTTTAGTTCCTTCCTTTGGAAGGTAGTGTGGGGACGGACACATCCATGGCTTCTACGTCTTAACACCCTCCACAGTGGCCCCCAATGGGTTAATGGAGCCAGCTTCTTTCCTGGGAATGGTTGCCTTTTGCCTCTCACCAATCATCAGAAATGGTGTTTATTCTCCACCTGAGATGGGGGAATCGATTGATGTGCACAGGTGAAAATGGATTGCAGCCCACTTGTCCAGTAGTGTCAATGGAGGTGATTAGCACTTGTGTCCATTTCCAGCTGATTGATAGCGCAGGTGAGAATCACTGCAAGGTCAGTCAGGACCACATCAGCGTGGTGCCCCCTCGCTTGGCTGAGAGTCCCTGTCAGCTGTCAATATGGACGAGGACATGTTGGAAGAAGACAAGCACTTTGCCTGAATTCATAGATGCTCGGGACAGTCAGACATCTGGGCACAGTAAGTTCAGTTCAGAGAGACCAAAGAAAGTACTTCAGCTAATATATAATTAGCTCTGAAATAACTCTGAATAGATGAAGTTAAGACTTTTCAGAGTCCTGGACTACATGTGAAAAAGCCTTGAGGCTTTAGTAGACCATGGGCAGGATTCAGCTGATTCCCACTACCGGAAGCCAATGGAAGAGCTACCCATAGCACAATAGGGCTTCTTCTCTCTTCTACCCCAATGCACTCCCTAAAGCTCCTGAAATTGGCCCAGTGGGGTTAGAAGTCTCAGAACAGCATGATAGTGGTGGAAGGATTGCCATGTGTGTTTAGTAGTGTAGCTAAAAAGAACAATGCAGTTCCAGGGTGCATGCAGCAACAAAAGAACCTAGTGCTAGACTACAACCCCCATCAACCCTGACCAATGGCCATTCTGGCTGTGCCGGATGGGAGTTGAAGTCCCAGCAACATCCAGTGAGCCACAGATTCCCTTCTCCTGCTTAGGACACGTCTGCTGCTCACTACAGTTCCTCCAAGTCTTGGCTTGTATTCAGGAGATAGTAGCTCTAGAGTCACAGAGTGATGCAAGGTGACAGGCAGGCAAGCGTGGTTTTGGGGAAATGACCTAATGGGGCAAATTTTACTTCTGGTGGTCCAAAGTTAGCTCATGAGCCAAGTTCCTCTGCCCCTGCTTTAGTGCCTGATAATAGAAATGGCTCAGCCAAAGCCTCTTCTGCTGTTCACACTGGGAGAGAAAGGTTTAAAAGCCCTTTGCTGACCTTGGGAGAAAGTAGGTGTGGTCTACATAATACTGGTAGGGAGGTGTGTCTACCGCAGAGGTGGGGAGCCTCTGACCCTCCAGATATTGTTGGGACTCCAGCTCCCATCAACTGTAGTCCAGTGGTCAGGGATGATAGGGGTTGTGATCTAGCAATATCTGGATGGCCACATATTCTTCATCTTTGGCCTTTTTTCTTGTTGATAATCTGTGGTTTAATTTGCACCAAGGCTCTATTGCCTTATTACTAAAAACTGTTTTAAACAGTAGGAGTGTTGGAGCAAACTGGGGTGTGGGGAGATAAACATTTTGATAACATAGCTTCTGGGAAAGCAGCGGAGTGCAATTGGATGGGGCTTTCAGTCCTTTATTAAATTAGCCATCTAACACTTTTTTCACCAGAACAGTTACTGTATGAACATTTTCCTGTTTATTTAAAAAAATACTGCCCCCAAAATGTATTTGCCCTAATTAAAAGATCATGAAACTGAAAAGGAAATATCAACAAAGTAGCACGATCAGAATGATAATAGGGAAAGTAGGCTGAGTGACAGACAGAGTCTTCTGCCCAGGACTTCACTGTACATGTCAAATCCATGACGGCTTCTAGGCTGCCACTACTTTGCAGGAATGAATCAATCATATACCAGCAAATTTAGGTTGTGTAGTTAAAGTGGATTTTGGTGCTCTTGTGCAATAAGCGTGCCCTCCCCAACTTTTTTTGGAAAGAAAGTGACAGAAGAATGCACTGGAAAGGTGAATGCAAACAAATCAGAATGTATGCTCAATAAATCTCCATACGTTTTTTGTGTGAAAAGAAATCAGGATGAATCCCCAATAAGGAGATTGTCTGGATCAGCCTCAGGCCCTTTGGAAAAGGTGGAAGAGTAGCGTAAATACTTTCTACATCTCCAAAGACTGCTGCTTCTGTATATTTAAAAAAGAAAGAAAGAAAAGGAGGTGGATTTTCTGTGGTCTGAGAAAAGATAGAAGAGCCACAGAGAAAACATAGGATGACAACACTTGGGTGAAGATGAATGTGTGTAGATGCCCCATGAAAGTGACTGAATGAAGCATAAGAACATATAGCTTACCAGATCAGGCCATTGACCCATCTAGTCCAACATCCTGTTCTGACAGTGGCCAACCAGATACCAGTGGGAAATCTGAAGTCAGGACAATAGCAGAAGAGCACTGTCCCTTCCTGCGGTTTCCAGCAAGTGGCATTCAGAAGCATTACTGCCTTTGACAATGGAGACCAAGCATAGCCATCATGCCTAGTAGCTACTGATAGCCTTATTCTCCATGAATCTTAAGAGTCATCCAATTTGACAGCTGTCACTGTCTTCTGTAGGAGTGAGCGCCATAGTTCAGCTATGCTCTGTGTAGAAGCAGCCCTAACAGGAAAAAAACAGCATTGGGGGCTGGCTTTGCTCCCAACTTATCCCAGTGACTTATCCCTAGACCAGAAATGGGGAACCTGTGGCCCTCAACTCCCACCTTCCCTGACCATTGACCGTGCTGGCTGGAGCTAATGGGAGTTGGGAGTTAAACATCAGGTCCCCCACCCCTGCCTTAGACAGGGGAAGGAGATAAACTGGGGAGGAAAAGGAGTTAATGGGATATTTTTAGAACTGGTGGCGGCACACGTCAGTCCATGCGGAAAAAAGAAACACTGTGCTCCACAGGTCATGGGATGCCTGTAATGATGACCCTGAGTGGATGGAAACGCCACGTCTTGAAACAAATCCTATCTGAC